CTGCTTTCACATTTAACAATTGGCAGTCAAATCATCATATATATATATATATCGCATCGGTAAAATTTTAAAATATTTTGTTTCTTTCTCTAAATATAATTAAATCATACATTTGTTCTCTAAGCGTTACGTTCCTAAAACACAGACACGCCTATGTACATTCACAAAAACAAATTACACATTCGACTTAGTAGAATTTGTTTTTGTTGACACTAGGTGGCGCTATACCGAGTGGATTCAATTAATCAGATGATCAGAGTACCATCTTTTCATCGCAGCCACGTAATCTGTATTCTACCATCGAGCAAAAACTAACGCCACTTTCTCGCGACATGTATTTAGCCCAAATAGCAAAGAATACGTTAACTCAGTTATTTCCATGTCCCGGATTTGGAAACCTTTCAAACATAATCAAAAAATTGTGTGAGCACGGATCTCAGGGAATATATGCACCCCCCCCCCCACTCCGGTGCAGCTAAATAATAGGGGGATTTAATAGTCCAATACAGCGCAACAAAAACCAAATATTGGCGAGAAATATGCACCTCCGTCGGAAATTATACAATTGTTCACAACTTCATGATTTGTATGTCGCTCTTGTAATGTGGAAATTCTAGTAACGTGATTTGGGAAATGCGACAACGAAAAAGGTCAGGTCATTCATTGAGTATTCTGTGAGAGATACGCCATAACATATGGCGAGTGGTTACCAGCCGTCAATGGAGCCGCCGACTGAGAAGAGTGGATTTGGGGTGCACTTGGACTTGTAATGATAGGTGGACTAGCCAGGTACACTGGAGGCACTGAGGAATAGGCATATCTCGGGACGTAGGCGAAGAGAGGCGTCAGGCTTGCGGATGGTGTGACACTGGTTCCCGAAACGGTACCCGTTGCCGTCGGGGAGATGCAGGCGCTACCGAGCTGTGGTGGCGGGATTCCCGGGATCCGGCCAATTATGTGCTCGCGCTGTTGATGACTACTCATGGATGATGTATAAACGGGTCCGGTATCGATTCTCAGCTCACCGTAGCTGGTCGCCGGAAGAGTTCTAGTATTGGGCGCCCCGCGCACGATGGACGGAGTGTGGTGGTGATCTGGAGACGGGAAACATCGGCTATGTGTCATTTCCGGTGCTGATGTCATCACGGGGGCATCCATACGGGAGGAAAATATATCAGCGTGTTCCATGATCGCGTTGAATTCGAAGGATGTCTGAACTTTCTTCAGATGGTTGGAAAGCCGCACCACCAGTGGGTGATCCGGCGGGAGGTGTTCTTCCTCGATGAGGTAGCGTATCGCCTCTTCGGCGCACTCCTTGAATCCACTCATCATGACGTCAGTCGGGGAGAGTTGATGCGGAGACGAAACCTTTACCTTGTGCGAGCTCGGATAGCCTGCATTGCTATCGTCTGTGTGGAAGAAAATACATAGAACGAATAAATAAATAAATAAATAAATAAATAAATAAATAAATAAATAAATAAATAAATAAATAAATAAATAAATAAATAAATAAATAAATAAATAAATAAATAAATAAATAAATAAATAAATAAATAAATAAATAAATAAATAAATAAATAAATAAATAAATAAATAAATAAATAAATAAATAAATAAATAAATAAATAAATAAATAAATAAATAAATAAATAAATAAATAAA